TGTTCATTCTCAAAGGAAAAAAAAAAAATCCATGCAAAAATAACCCCCACCCTCTTCCCGCTTTCTCTCCTACCCGAAGTGTAAGGCCGTATAGAATGACCACGTGAGCGATGGCCCTTTTCTGCCAGTGTCCTTCCTCATGTCTACATTAGGAGCTGTCGTCTAAACTCAGTAACTAAAACAAGACGAGAAGAAAATTCAATTGCACAATCCTAGTCTGCAGGTGACAAAGTCATAACATCTCTTTACAGAAGTCCCTACTCTTTTTCCAGTTGGGAGAATTGGCTATGGCGTTGTGGTTGTTCCCCAACTCTCGCCTATATGGCTGGTGTCAGTTATTGTCCATACGCCTTTGTTAACAGAAGTCAGTCTATCTACTATTGCTCCGGCCTCCCTTCCTCACCTACATGTAGTTTAGATTCTACGCAGCACTGCCTGCAAAGGGCCGACTCCGTGGTGTTTTCCCCCCATTTTAGACAAAGCCCATAGCTCAAGTGACGATCTCCTCACTGCAGCTATGCATTCGTGTCACCCGTGGGGTGTCTTTTATGGACTACGGAGGCATGTCTTTGCTAGATCATTCCATTTATCTTAGTCCACTCGTAGATGTCCTGTTCACATACTATGTCCGAGTTGATGAGGAGGTATCTGTCCCCAACACAGAAATGTTTCTGGCAGGCAGCGCATTTGAAGCATTCAAGGTGATACACTTTGTCCTTCACCCGCATGGTCATCTCGTAAGCCCGGATTCGCTTGTCGCAGGAGGCGCAGAGGCCGTCTTGGCCAAAGAGCCTAAAACAACAACAGCAGAGAAGTAAGCAGGGTTCCTTTGCTGGGGAGATGGGAAAGACCAAATCAAAACAAGAACACAACATCAGTGCCTTGATCCATTAGCCATAGTATCATGGAGTTAGATGGAGGTCACATGAAAAGCTGCCAAGCAGAACTCTAAACTTTGCAATACCAAAAATTGAAGTAGAAAGTCCAAGGTCTTTCTAGGTCCTCACCTATTTTCAATACAATTGACTTCTCTGATCAATGACGTTATCCTGAATGGCTGAGCAGCTTCCGGAGGAATGAAGGTTCCCCAGATCATAGCATCAAGTTGTGCCATGCAAATATTTTCACTTCTGTGATGGATAGAAATTACCTTTCCATTGATAAATTTTGCCTATCTTCAGCTGTTGCTACTGTAGTTTACAGAGAGAAGTTGACGCAAGCCATGGTCTAAGACTCCCCTGTCTCTTGTCGTTGCCTCCAGCTCAAACATCCTTGAAGTCACTCCTGCTGGGTTTCAGAAGGACACATGCTAAGACCTTCTAGATACCTATGCTAGCCCAAACAATTTTATGGAGTGGACTCCTCTTTAATCTGCAGTGAAAAACCCTGCTGAGCTCATTATTGTCTATTAAAAGGAGCCTCTAATGAACGCGCTACCTATGTATCCCCCTCACAGCACGCACTGCCGTTCCGCTGGGGCAGGGCGACAGACTCAGCTACGGGTGAACACCAGCCTTTCATGCAGTCTGCTGGCTACAGAGTGTGTTAGTCAATTCGTTAGTAAATAAGCAGAAATATATTCCTTTTTCTTAAAAAGGCGGGGAGAAATGCTACGTATTACTTGTTCAAAGTATATACCTATTCATTTTGACTTCAAAGTTTCCATACGAATTCTGGAAAGACTGTTTCCATCTCCTACAGTTACATATGTTGTGCCTGCTTCATATCACCTTCTGAACTGGAAAAAGGATGCCCATTAAATTAAGAGAGATCTTTAAGAGGAAAGGACATAATTTCTTTCGTCTGCCAGGAGATGTCAGTGTTTACTTCTGCCCAACAAAAGTAATACTAAGGTTACATACACAAAGGCCGCCAAATTTTTCCTTAATAAGGGAAGATATTATATGTTGCATTATTAAATAAATAAAAACGTTGAATTTCAGTGCAAGAAAATACATTAATTGTATTGTCATTCTTTCTGCTGCTTACACTTCAAGATGAAAAGTATTCGGAAAGTGTAACTAACACTGGATCGCTGCTGGACTGTTGCGTATGCGGCGCATTTACAAGCAGCCCCATTAGCAGAACTCAGTTCTTAGCTTCTGCTTAGCAAAATTCCCATCGGTAAAGTTCAGGAACACCATAATTAGGAACCCCACAGAGATTTTGGGTTAGTTTTCATTGGTAGGTAAATTAGACTTCAGTAAGGTAGCTGAAAAAATACCAAATGCCATTATTCTGTTCCACAGACCTCCTGTGCCATTAGGGATCCATTAGAGGAAACGGTACCCAATCAGCACAGCAAAGATCGAAACACTTTAATTGTAATCAGGAATATAAAGATCCTTTATTATAATTTTTTTTGGTGAAATATCTTAATCTCAATTTAATCCTTCTACTTACAAATTTTGGCAAAACACAGAGGCAGAGAGATGTTAATGAAAATACCGGTAACAAGTGTATTTGTAGGATCTGATTCAGCAAAATGGGTGAATTCTTGTCTATTCAGGACCAGGCTTACGCACGCTAAAAATCTGCTGGATCCAAAAATTAGTGCAATCAAACTTTCCTCTACTGGTTGTAGCTTTGCAATAAACATACATCACATTGCATCCTTCTGCTTGAAGCGTCCCAGATAACTTTAGCAGCGATGCAGAAAAGGACAGGGATCGATACGTGTACAAAAGGCAGTGACTCCAGACCCCAGCCAGGTACCTTGATTCCACTAGTGTACCGGGATAAAGCATCTCTTATATAGCTGATATTACCGCATCGGGAAAATGAATTGAATCCAGTTACCTTGGCTACTGTGTTCTTAAATGAGAGAACTAAATCATCTTCCATCAGTCGCTGATCTTGGCACCTGGTTTGACGTACCTTCCAGCTCCAAGGCCATGCTTGGAGAAGCACAGAACTACTGAAAACAGTCCAGGGGAACTGGTTTGTTCTCAGCTCAAGGGGACCTTGCTGAAATTCATCACCTTTTCCCAATTCCCACCTGCCAGAATCCCACGCTGACACTGCGCAGTTCCCCTGGAGCTATCGGGTTATGTCTGTGCAGACTGATGGATGCCAACAGCCTCGAAGTCCTGGCAGTTCTTACTACATCCTTCATATTTTCAAGTAATTCTCTTTTGTCCACAACATGTAGCAATGCTTTCATTTTCAGTAAAAAATGCGCTTTTTTTCCTGACAAGAATTTTAAGATTTAACCTACAAACATCTCTAAGTGACCAAATCATAGAATCACAGAATGGTTTAGGTTGGAAGGGACCTGGAAGATCATCAAATTCCAACACAGATAAGCTCTAGATTTATCTATAACTTACTGAACAACCCCAGAAGTACCATAAAGCATCTGTGCATGAACCCCAAAAATCTCAGAGCCCATATTGTAAACCTGAACTTGCAGATGGTGCCGTGTTACAGCTGTGACCGCTGTCAGGCTTTACGCTTAAGAGTAGTCAAAAATTAATTCTTTACAGATCTTTGCTCACTAGCTATGCTAATTAAACGACTCAGCAAAGCTGAAACGATAGAAAGAAGGGGAGCGAGGGTAGAATGAGTGGGATGCGTACCTGAGATAGTCCCTTCGGCAGAGTTTTCTGCCCAGTTTGTAATACAACCGTCTCCCCACTTCTCCGAGCCTGCACCCGCACAGGTCGCAGCTGAGGCAGTCCTCGTGCCAGTACTGGTCGATGGCTTTCAGGAAATAGCGGTCCCCGATGTTCTGCTGGCACCCGCCGCATGTCAGCAGCGAAGGGGGGATTTGGAGGACTTCATCCACCGGCTCCCTGAGGGAAGGCAAGAATCATTGGAGAAGGGAAATGCACTCTGAAAGCATCCACGCGAGAAGGAGGAGAAGAAAAAACAAAACGCAAGATTGGTCAAAGATTGGTCAAATTAGAACAGGGATTACATCCTTATTTTTTTCTCCCAGTGGAGTGAACTATTTATCCACTTCTAACACAAGAGGAGCAGGACTTCACTCTTCTTCTGAGTTAATAAAAAAAAAAAAAGAACAGCCTAAAATATAAGGAGTTAATAAGAGCATCCAAGAATTTGCTAACTAATTTTTTTTCTTTTTCTTCAAAGAATAATGCATAAACATGACAATCTCTGTTTCACCTGTGTGTATTCACTTTACTAGGACATTGCTATTTGTGTAGATATATCATTTTTCTTCTGCTGGACAGAACATGAATTGCTCGGTCATGTGTCCCAATCCATGCAGTTCTTATAAAAGAAATAACTTTCCCATAACCTGATTCTTCCATAATGAAAGATTGCACTTTTTCCAAAGTGCAATCAAAAAGCTGCCCGGATTCACCGTTTCGTAGAAATGCTGGTTATGTCTGCGCAGACTGACGGATGCCAACAACCACAAAGTCCCGGGTGTTCTTACTATATTCTCACATTTTCAAATAATTCTCTTTTGTCCACAGCATGTAGCAATTCTTTCATTTCCATTTAAAAAAAAATGCTTTTTTCCAACAAGTTTTTTAAGATTTACCTATAGACAACCCCAAGTGAATGAATCAACACAGACAACCTCTGAGTTTATCTATAACTTACTGAAGAACCCCAGCAGCACCATAAAGCATCTGTGCACGAACCCCCAAAATCTATGAGCCCCTATTGTAAACCTGAGTTTGCAAGCTTTGACTCTTAATGCCGCTGGAAGCAAAGGGAGTTTCTGCCTCACCAAGGGCTGAAGGACTAGAAAAAGCACCTGAGGGATTTTACATGCAGTCAACTTTCGGTTGGGAAATGTAAATTTGAAGACTAAGTCTGAGGATGTCATTTCTCTGACCAGCATGAAATGAATACACACACCAGATGAGGCTGTCGCCCGACTGGTTTAAGTTTTGCTGCTGTTTTTTAACAGCGCCAGAATTTTACCTGATGGTACTTCATGACTTCTTTTTTTCCTTTAGCTAAGGAGATGAATCCCCTGGGATGGGTCTATGCCAACATAGCTCAAACAATTATTTGGGATTTACACATCCCTGCGTGAAAAGAGATATTAGCGCTGACTATTCACGCATGATATTTTTTCCGTACTTAAAAACCTCTGAAATCTAGGATGGTTCTGGTAATACCTGGGCATAAAGCAGTAATTTTCTTCAAAGCTACTTTCTTAAGGAATTCTCTTCTTTGCCCTTTTGTGTAATTTTACAAATTCCACCAAAAAAAAAAAAAAGGCAAAAAATTAAAAGAAAGGCACCTGAGCTCAGCTCTGCAAGGTTTGCAGTGACCCGGTACTGCCACCGAGGGCTTCGTCCAAACCCCAGGGAAGTTAATAAAAAAAACTATTGAAATCAATCCTTTAAGCACTTGCTTAATTTTAAACCTGTGGCCAGTGGCAGGGGAAGAGGATATTTTGACATTTTTGCTTTTTTTTTGATGACCAAGGTGCTTAATATCTGCCAGAGGGGCACCCCGAATTTTTTCATAGGTTGTTGGGTTCTCGCTGTGGCAGAGTCCCTCAACGCTTTGTTTCTGTCGCTGGTTTGTCCTCCCTTAGGCTGGTGGGGGCGGAGGAGACCTACACTGATGGGGAAGGATCAGGCTGCTCCCAGTTTCCAGCAGGCAATACGAAAAAAATATATTTCTACCGCTTATTTATTGGGTCAGCGGTTTTCTGGACAAAAATTACTTTCTTCAGCAGGGAGAAATGACCACTGGTCAAGAACTGTGCTGAGAAACTGATCCTGCAGTTTTTATTTAGGCAAGCTGAGCCCTGAGATATTATCTGATTATATTCTGTTCTGGTTTTCACTCTTCTAGGCTTAAACTGCTGTGCCCTGCAAGTTGTGTCATAACATCCCTCTCCTACCAGCTCTCTGTCCTGTGAGTTTTCATTAAAATCACGTATGTGATTAGGCATTAGTTTGTCCGAATTTATTCTTTTGGGCCCCATGCTCCCTTTCCTAACATGTGGGCTCTGCTCTGACAAGTTCCGAGCGCCTTCCAATACCAGGAAATGCACGTTATTATCCTTTATTCTCCATTATTTGAAACTTCAGATGTATCCCAAAATATTTCATCTTACGGGTGTTGGGGAGTCACAAGACAGGTCTCTCTGCAAGCCCTAAACTCCGGAACAGCCCGGCGGATGTTTACGCAGAACAGAATTGCTGGTTTATGCATTAGCTTTTTGATGTCCATAGATTTCTAAGCTAGCACTTCAGTCACTAGAACACAAGGTAGGTAAATAAATAAAGGTTACTAAAACTTTGTAGTTGAAACCTGGACATCATATACCTAGGAGCTTGGATTATTGTTTCTTAAAAAACACTATAAAATAAGAGAAAATGTAACATACAACACATCAGACGTGGCATGGCATGGATTGATTTAATCCGCAAAAGAAACAGTTCCCATGCGTTCACTCGGGACTTCACGCGATGGCATTTTTAGTATCTCACAGGAAACAAACCACGAATGACTCAAGTTTACAAAGAGCAATGTTTTAAGTGTTATCTGAAAACGGAGATTTTATAATTTTTTTTCCCCCTTCTCTCTTATCATGATTCCAGATGAGCATAACTGCAGTTATTAGCGTGTGCAGGGCAGAAATGACTGGTTTTACGCTGAGTGACCACGGCTGCGGCCAGTGGGATGCCTGCAGGGGCGGCTGCGGAGCACAGCCCCAACGCCTGGACCAACACACGAGAGCCGGCGGTCCCTTCCCCTAGTGGGAAACCCAGGGAGGGAAATTCTCATCTACATCGCGGTCATCAAGTCTTTCTCCAGGACCTTTGCAGAACACCCTCCCCCACCACCCCCCCCAAAGCAGTTTATACAAGAAAGTTGCATTATGAAAATGTGGAAGTTGGGCACCCGCAGATAACAGCTCTGACCTTTCGCTATAATGGGCTACGGCAAGTTGGGCAGATTAAAGATGGGGCAGAGATGGTCCCTCCAAAACTGAGGGGAAAAAAAACCCAAACACAGCAAAACAACCCCAAAACACACCTTCAGATTTGACAAGCGGGATGCTCTGCCTTTCCCTGCGCCCTTCCCAGCACCCCGGACTGGGATGAGCGGGTGGAAAATGCCCTGCCCGTGGATGGAGGGGGTGAATTACCGCCTCTCTGCCCCCGGAGGCGGCTTTTTCCCACAACTTGGGGAGCTCTCATCAACCTGCACCCCACCAACAGCGCCCCTGTCCCGTCCCCCC